AGGAGGGTACAGTCCAAAGTAAGCACAAGCTTGCCTAAGGTTAATGCCTATTGGTACGGCATTAAAATAAATCCTCAAGTCCCCCATTGGGCGGTGGAGGACTTAGAGCTAGGACAACCTAAAACTCTCCAGCGTGAGATCCAAAATGGATCGGACGGTGGAGGGGGGGGGGGTGTTCGTTGCTTGAAGTGGATCGATAAAACATAGAGCCATCAAAGCAAAGCTTATTACTCACGTCGAGCAAGCTGAACGACCGGACCAACCACGCAAAAACTGCGGAGCTAGATGTGCGGCACGCACAATGCATTGTTTTCGATTGGAGAGAGGCGAGTATAAAGCAGTAAAGAATCGTTGGCCAAACTGTCGGCAGATAGGTCTACTCGGGAGCGTAAGTGGGGTAGCAACCCATGGTGGAGCGTACATGAGAAGCTGGACGTTGGTGTACGCTCCATCCCGGCGTGTGAGTAGGATCTTAGGCTATGCAACTCGTCCCTGAGCTAATTGTGGTGAAAATGACCTCCTGGGAGGAAGTAACCCGTACCGCGGGACTTCGGAGATGATAAATTGGGTGGTCAGGGGACGTCTGGGTGTTTACTAAGCAGAGCGCCCGGCACAAGACTGGGGTACATGTGCCAGGAGGTGTGAACTTGGATCTAGACTACGAGCCTATGTTCGAGGCGCTATTTAGCGTCGGTGTGCCGGCAAAAGAACTGAAAGGAACCACAACCCCCGCCGGACACTTGGATTGGGAAGGCCGAGTATTCTGTATACCTTCCTGAAAAAACATGAGAAACAAGTGGCCACGGTCCAGTTGACGTACGCCGTAGAGATCATGAGGATGGTGAAGAAGCTTGGAGGATGGAAGCAGAAACTGTGGAAGGGAGACAAGCTGGAGCTGCTGCTGTTTGGGGTTCCAAGGGACATGACGAGGATAGAGTTCAAGAACTGTTGTGACAGGGAGGGACTGCACTGCCTAGCAAGGGGACAAGTAGGCAGAGAGCATGAACACTTGCGGGTGGAATTGACCAAGGAAGACAGCCAAGAGTGCTTGGGAGTTAACGTCGAGAAGCTGTCGAACTACTTAAGGAAGTTGGATGGAGGGTTTGCATCGCGAACACGATAGAAGCAGAGAAGGTAAGCAGACAAGAGGCGAGGGCGATGGAGGCGAAGAAGGGACCGAGCGGGGAAGCGAGCAGGCAAGTCAGAAGAAGTCCGAGAAGAAGCGGAAGGCGAACGATAGCGTGCGCAAAATCTCCAATAGGGAAAAGCACAAGCTGAGTGTCGGGTCGTGGAACGTGTGCGGCTTCGCAAGAAGTGAGCGCGAGCGGTTGGAAATAGTGAACCAAGTAGAACAAGGCGATCTAGATGTAGTGGGGATCCAAGAGACGTGGAAATGGAAGGATGGTGACGTGGTAAGCAAACTAGGGAAATACCGGTGGGTAGGGAAGGCAAGAAAGGGCTTAGACCGTAAGAAAACGGGGGAGGGGGGAGTCGGATTCCTGGTCAAGGAACACTTGCTTGACGTGGTGGAAGTAGTGGTGAAAACGGAGTCCGAGGAAAGCCTATGGCTTAAGATACCTGGGGAACGGGGTGAGAAAGATTTGTTTCTAGGGAACGTATACGTCCCACCGTCGTCGAAGAAAGTCGCAAGCAAGGCGCAGGAGAACTTTGGACAAATTGGGCAATATGTCCAGGGGTGCAGTAGGAAGGGAAAAGTTGTCATGGTGGGCGATTTCAACTCCAGAGTAGGGAAAGCTTCCAGTAGAGGACAGGCGATCGGGCAGCACGGAGAAGACAAAGTGAATGACAACG